CAGTGCCCTGTCTGCCTGGGGGCTCACCAGCCACCCTAGGCACCCCTCTGGGGCAGCGGGTGGGGGGTTAAAGGCAGAGGCAGCACCAGCTGAAGCTCTCAGCCCGCACCCCCACCCCCACTCCCCAGCCTCCTCTGCCTGGTAATTGCAGGGTTGCAAGATGCCAGCTGCCTCCCAGGCCCCAGGCGGGCACCTCCCAATGGAGCAGGGCCTCCCTGGAAAGCCTCCCATTTCTCCTGTAGCCCCACAGACCAAGCTGCGCTGGGGGTGCTCTCCATGGTGCTCAGACTCCCCCGCCCCTCTCTTCCCAGGGAGGGGGCCTGAAAAGTGTAAACATGAAGCCTCTCCTGGATTTCTCAGGCTTCCCCCACGTCAGAGGAGCATCCTGGCCTCCCCTCCCCCAGTCAGGAACTAGCCGTGCTCCTGCTGCTGAGCAAATAAACCCTCGCTCCACATCCTGGCATGCGGAGTGCTCCAGACTCCCCTCAAGCACATTCCCCAAGTGGCCTTGGTTTCAGGTCCCTGTTGTTCTATAGAATAAAGTCAGACAGACCCCTTGCTATGGCCTCCTCCCTCTCTGACTGGCTGGGACTGGCTTTGGGCACTATGTGTACTTGCCCTCTGCCAGAGCACCAGTGGCCTGGTCAGATGACAGCTTCACAGTGACTGGGGTGTGCCTCATCAGTGCCCACCCGGACCTCGAGCTCTGATGGTAGAGGTCCTGCCTCTGGGACTCCGGATCTCCCCAGGAAGGGAGAATGTCCTTTAGAGCACACACTGCTTCTCCGCGGTGCCTCTTAATTGTAATCTTCGCGACACCGCAGGGGTGGACAATAGCAAGATGAGGAAACAAAGGCCCAGAGAGAGAAGGGACCGGCCAATAAATGACAAGGCCAGCATTCGAATCTGGGCAACTCCAAAGGCCACGTGTTCCCAGCTTAGCCCAGGTCCGAGCCCAGCTCAGAGCAGGCGTTTTCTAAATGTCCATGAGAGGAAAGGAAGAATGAACTAATGATGGAGAGAACCACTGTCCTCGAGATCTCTTCCCTTCAGATCACTCAGCAAGGCCCTTTCATCCAGCACCCCACCTGAGGCTCTAACTCGGGCAGATCAGAGTTAGGGGCCTCACTAGAGGATGAGTACACCGAGGTCCAGAGAGCGAAATGGCTCACCCAAGGACACCCAGCAACCATGTCCTGGGAACCCCCAGGTCCTTTAAGGTGGAGCTTAATCCTTCACTCCTTTGACCGCCATTATAATAACTCCAGAGAGAGCAGCCAAACAGATGTGGATTATGCTGGACCCCTAAGCAAGCAAGAAGCTCCACCTCCCTGAGCCCCAGTTTCCTCATGTGTAACACAAGGTGCCATGGGGATTAGAAAGGACATTTGTCAAACCTCCAGTATGGGGTTCGGCACCCAGCAGTATTGTTGTCTGTCCACCTTTGTCCTAAGTCACCCGCCATGTCCGTGTGGGAGACCAGTTTTCCAAGCAAGAAAAGTGCACTGTCTATACCAGGGTGGGGATCTAAGTCCAGGATCTAACTCTACCTGCATGGACCACTCCACTCAGCCACTCATCTCCCCCTGCCCTCAGTCCAATCTCAGAAACCTCCACTCGGTCACTCACCCAGTCACCCTGGTATCTTCATTCCAGGATAGAATGGGGTTTCGAGGTAGCACTGGGAGAGCAAAGGCATCTTTGTCTGCTCCTGGACCATCACCCCCTCCCCACCGGCCCATCTCATTGACTGATAAACTGGAGTTAGGTATGTAACAAAATCCCTGGAGACTTTGGCGAAGAGACTCCTTTATCAGATAAAGTTCATCTGATTGCCCAGTCCCCAAGAGGTAAACTGAGGAAGCTGCCAAGCTAAGGGGGGTAGGGTCGGAGAGGAGAAAAAAGGTGCCACTTCAGGCAGTCCACCTCTATTATTTTTTTTTTTTTTTTGATGATCGTGACAGCCAGTGAGCTGATCATAATTCTGATCCCACCTTACAGGTGAGAAAACCAAGGTCGAGACCCTCGGCAGCATCCTGAGGTCTCAGGGCAACTGAGAAGCAGGGTGTGGACTGGGGCCACTGCTCTCCAGAGCAGATGCTGGTAACTACTGCACAGCAGCTCCTGTACAGAATGTCACACACGCCCATTAAGTCCATCTCAGTCCCTTGAAATTGATTTTTCAAATTGGCTTCTCCTTTTGTAATTCCCGATATATTCACCTGGCTGGTGCTATCTTTTCACTCGCTTGCTATAGCCTGTAAAGTTCCCCGAAGGCTAGAATTTGGTCCTTTTAGATCACCTTGGTGCCCCTAGCACCTATGCCTGCCACGTAGCAGGAGCTCACTAAGCACTCAATGAATAAATGAGTGAATGAATGGATGAACAAATGAATCAATGACCTTCCATGCTTCCTCTCAGGCCCCTGCTCTGGGCACTCCAAGGCCAATCCCAGAGACTCAGGTCGGTCAAAGGCAACAAGAGATGAAGTTATAAACCAGGGCAGGCAAATGGACTGTGCAAAGTTTTTTGAGAGGAAACTCAAAGATGCGATGCTATTAAAAATTGATATTTCAGTGAGATAATTCCCTCTCCTAGGCTTTTAATTGATTGTCTAAAAAGCCTTCCTTTGTTGTTATGCCTCTTTATTCGCAGGGACCATTAATTTTTTTATGGACGATCAAACCCAGATAGAGTGGAAGGGCTGCCGCACGGCTGCCTCAAAAACAGTAACCAAGGCGCCGGGGACAAACATCTGGGGGTCGGCCAGGAGAGGTGACAAGGCCATGGAGCTAGTCTTGGCTCTGAGACTGGGAACAGGGCAAGACCTTGCGTGTCCCAGACACACACACCTGTCCCTGCCCCCAGCCCCAATGGACAGGCTTCATGAAGTTTGGAGAAGCAGGTGAGCGCCCCGGGAAGGTGTGGGGCAACTGCTCTGAGGGGGAGCCCCGCTCTGGGAGTCGGGACCCCTGGGTTCCCCCTGGCTGCCAGAAGCCAGTTTCCCGCTGCCCCCACCCCCATCTCTCCCTTGTGGGACAAAAGGTAGACAAGGAAAAGCAGGTGAGTGGCAGTCAGGACCTCTAGGACACTTTTCCTCTCTGGGCCTCTGTTTCCTTGTCTGTCCAGTGAGGGTGACACTGGCATCCATCTCAAGGAGTGGCTTTGAGGGCTGCGTGCAGAGCAGGAAGGGCCACTGTTGCTCACGCTATTGTTAACCTCACCGTCCCTCTCCTGGCTCTTTGGGGGGGCCCTCAATCTACACCCCTGTCCAGGTGACCTTGGCCACCTCCTTTCTCCTCTCTCTGGGATGGCTCTGAATCGGCATCCACCCTCTGCTGCGAGGCTTGTAGCCGCGGAGGTGTTCTGTGTACACCTGTCTGCCAGGTCTCTGGCCTTGTCTGCTTCTCCCCCACCCCATCCATCCACTCCACCAGCTCGACAGGCAGCCTCGACAAGGCCTCGAAGTGTCCCTGGCTGCAGCGACAGTGGACCGGGGCTGGGCTGGCTGGCTTCTGGCCCTTTCATAACTGCCCTGCCCGTGAGCTGGCCTCCCTCACTTCCTCTCTGCCGCCCCATGCTCGCTCTTGAGGCCTCTTTTCTGGAAAGGAGAAACTGGCCAAGCA